AAGGGCGCGTTTTTCCGCAAAATTCCTAGGTGCAAATGGGTTAACCTTCGAAACTTGAAATGCCATTGCGTGTCATTGACGGACTGTGTCAAAAATATTTTTGATCCAGTGAAACCTTGTTACTTTTGCGATTTGTTCAAAATTTCCGGACTTCTCGAAGCCCTTCTTGACCTTTTCTCTTTCTAAGTGTAGTATTTTGTTAAATTTGTTAATCTTGCTATTTCTGCTACATTTGTTAATCAATCTTTTCACTTAGCAAGGAAAATTCCCGTTACTTTTGCGATTTTTGCGACATTTGCGGACTTCACAAAGCCCTTCTTGGCCTTTTCTCTTTGTAAAAGTACAATTTTTAAAATTTGTTATTCCTGCTATTTTTGCCATATTTGTTACTCAGTCTTTTCACATACCAAGAAAAATTCTTCTTACTTTTGCGATTTTTGCGACATTTGCTGTTTCTTCTATACTTTTCTGATAGTAGTTTTCTTTAAATCTTTTTTGCTAAAATTGCGAAAATTAAAAACAATTTGCTAGCAAATTTTTGCTCACAAGATCGATCCTGGATATAAGTGATTAAGCGGACACCCTCGGGGAATGCTGTAGTGTCCGCTTATATTAAATAATACAGGGTGTCCGCCTTATACAGGTTTCGATAGATAACGTCATATGAGGTGTCAAATGCCATTTAAATGAACAGTGGAAACGTTTAGAATACTACCAGAGACTATGACGATATACGTTTGCATTAATTTCTTTATGAAAGTGGACCAGTTGATCATAGTACCATAAACATAGATTGCAACTCAAATTTGAAGAAATCAGATGAGTAAAACAAGCTCTAAACAAACAAAACGAAATAGGAAACAATAGTGTACTGTGAAAGTAATCAAACAAGTTAGTCAAGTCTAAAATGTAAAATCGAAAAATTTGTGAGTGGCCATATTTCGCATTTCCAGTGTCTGGCATGTTGGGTGGTGGAATTTAAGTACAAGTGTCCGTTTAATACAGATTAGCAAAAATAGAAAAGACCATTTCAGGTCCTTTTTAGGTGTCCGCGTCCGCTTAATAGGGGTGTCTGCTTAATAAAGGTTTCATTTAAAGTAAATAAGGGAAATAAATTTGGGGACTTCGGCTACCGTCCGCTTAATAGAAGGTGTCCGCTTAATACGGTGTCGATGGCTTTCACAGTGATGTCATCAAATTGTAAAGTCAAAATAGCGAGGTTTTACGAATTGTTATGCACACTAGGTTGAAGATAAACAAAAAATGAATCTTTGTACAAGTTTCCAATCCCATAGCATGTTTCATGGCGAAAATACAGCAATTTGAATTTCCGAGTTTTCACAGTGCGTGACACCAAAATAGGAATGCTGTCTCGTTGAAAAACAGTCTGCAGTCTCTCCTCTTGATTTTCTGCAGTATAACCATTTCAATTATTAGAAGATATGTTTATGCGCACATATGCGAGTTCTCGAGTGAAAAGAAAGAGCTCTTATAGGAAAAGTGAACTGCAGATGCTTTTGTTGATTTCCGGCGGCCATACTGGTCCACCAAAACTGTACACCAATATGGCGTCCGGCCATACAAAGCTCTACAAAGGTTCGTGAAACGTTTCGGCAAATAACTCAGAAACTGGGCCGCAAAGACCTGACTTGGACATTGTTTATATATTAGTCTCTTATAACATTTCATCTCAGCTTGGCTTCTTCCACTGTACGGTTTCCATTTTATTTTTTTGTTGTGTGACAGCGAAAACTATCTATAAAAGGTATCGAAAGATAATTCTGGATAACTGTAATTTCTGTAAACTGCCAGTAGAGTAGGGATAAACTGTGAACAGCGTTTAAAAATAAAATAAGTTGTTTTTTATTTATTCTATGATCCACCAGGATTGGATTTTGAATAAAATAATATGTAATAACAAAACTGGAGCCTGGAGTCCTTGATGAAATTAAGTTACGACAACAGCCGTTTCTCCTCGCTCCTCGCCGCTTGTGGACGTTTCCCAACCTTTTTGTATCGTAAAACAGCTTTATTATAGTTTTCTGCAATCGCGTGGAGTGTTGCGTGTGCGATTGCTTACGTTTTGCCTCACTTTGACACCTTAACTCGCGTGGTGATTCGCGTGTCCTCGACGTTCATTTTTCAAACGTTTTCTGAGGTCTGCTATTTGTCTGCATATTTCAAGAGTTTTCTGAAGGTGTACTATCGATCTGTGTTTATTGAATCTTCCAAAGTTGTCTTTTGAAATTGTCTGCGACTCAGAGTGCTGGCGTATGCATCAATAAAACCGGGTTGTTTGGCTCGACGGCCGTTGTGCCACAAAGTAACCACGAAGTGAAGCTCGGCGGCGCCATTTCATCATGATTTACGATATTTTCGTCACCGGACAAACGAACATTTTAGCTCTATGTTATTTATTCGGAAAAATTTATAAACCAGCCTACAGTAGCGCCACACTCAAATCACTGAAATCAACACACTCGACCAAATTACTGAAAAGGTTATTGACGTAAGCACACACCATTCCACTAAAAAAGGCTTTGATGATTCCCTTGAAACGTGTAAGTGAACCAGTGTCCAAACACAATTCATTGTGCTCCAGCGCTCACCACAAAAAATGTGGTCTTGGATCTTGGGTCTTAAATATCAACACAAGTTAAGGAGACTTGCCAGCCCGGGGGGACGGGGGGGAGGGGTACTCCCATATATGGGCCATATAGGTACGTGCCGCGGAATAGGGTATAGTTTTTGAGGTTCTCGGTCCTTAAATAGGGTATCTTTTTTTACCCTTTTGTTTCTGTGTCCCTGGTGTGGTCCTTAGGTAGGGTAGCTTAATTGTATTATCTAATACTGGAGTGTGAAAACGCCCACCTAAACGAACGGTTTTTTTTTAATTGATGTATCCGTTTAAGTATTAACAAAATGATTTTGCAACAAATGTTTAATAGCCGTTAAGGGGGTAAATACACGTAACACCTCTTCAAGCCAAATGTTTGTTTTTTCCTTGAATAGGGTGTCATTTTTCGGCTTTGGGCCTTAAAAAGAGTATCAGTTTTCGCTTTCTTAGTCCTTAAATAGGGTTAGGGTTCACGAACTTGGGCTTGCCAGTAACGGTTTCATTTAATTTTAGTCCACTAACAAAAGAAAAAGAAACCCTGAATCAGGCCTTCGAACAAATGCGCCCTGTAGAACATCTATTGCACGTTCTATATACCGTAAACTGCCGCATATCCCCGGTTATAGGCCAACCTACATGCAAACAAAAAATTATATCCGATTATAAGCCCATCCGGATTTAAGCCCCCCTCCAGTTTTTCTTATTTTATAAATACGAGAAGCTTCTCTGTTGTGAACTAGACATTAAAACTTTAACTAATGACGGCGGGGATTAGCTCTGAACTTCCGTTTTGTTGGGTTCCAGTTACGTTAGTGTTGTTACAGTTTTGATTTTGTTTTGAAATTTAACTGAATTCGATTTACTGCTGCCTTTTTAAGGCTTCAATTGTAAGATTAATAAATTTAAATCATACGTCGATCAACAGTGCTGTTGCTCATTTCGAAACGTTTTTTTTTTCGTCCGCTTATAAGCCCATCCGGATATAAGCCCCCCAGTTTATAAGCCCACCCAAAACCCTTACCCCTTAGCTGCAGTTTACGGTATTTACCAGTTTTTAGTGTCGTCACGCAACGCTCCTCTTCACTCCCCATTTGCAGCAGAGTGCGTCGAGCTTGTAATATAGTCTGCTACACAGCGGTTTTTAGTGTCGTCACGCAACGCTCCTCCCCACTAACGGCTGCATCATTTGCAAGTCCTTGACTTCAGTGGCAGAATGTGCTGATTCCTCTCCGACTAAATCTATTGAACGTGTGTGTGTATCTCCATCATCGAAGGAGCAAATTTGTTTACTTTGTGCGAAAGTTGTCTCTAACAATGATTTTAGGCGAAAGTTGACGAGCTCAGGGGGCCGGAAAAACAAAAACTTGTTTCAATCTCGAGTCAATACTGGGAAAGGAGATTTCACAACCAAGGAATCCTTGACATCCGCACACATTTTTAAACCTACAGAGACTTTTCAATACACGTATTTCTCTTTCTGTAACCCTCACGGGGTCAGAAAAGGTCTCATAAAGGGCGAAGCCATTAGACTCCTGAGAACTAACTCCTCAGCTAAATCCTTCTATGAAAACAACTTCAAAAAACGCCTTCGCGCTAGAGGTTACTCTCACAATCTCATAGAAAAAATCACCTCTGAGGTTAAATTTACCGAACGGAAGTCAGCTTTACAAAAGAACAATAAAGAACGAAAAAAATTCTGCCTTTCGTTACCACATACCACCCTGCTTTGCAGAACCCTAAAAACATTTTAATGAGCAAATGGCACTTAATTCAAGATCAACCACTACTGAGAGCAATATACAACGAGCCTCCCATCATTCCATATAAAAGAGCAAAATCGCTGGGAGATTTCCTTGTTAGAGCAAAACTATAGGGTCACGTATCACACTATCACAAGCGTATGAGTCGTGTTTGGCCATTCAACACCTTCCACTTCGCAATCGACCTCAAGTCACGTTTCAATGCGCTTACTACTTGTGAGTGACAGCTTTATCCCCAAGGGTCCTTGGGAGCTACTCTGATTGGTCCAAGCGCACCGACCCGTTTTTGGGTGGGTAAAATTGGCGCCTTCTACCCTGGGTACCAGAGGTTTTTCTCGCGTGCGGCGGGACTTGTCGGCCGAAGGCCGACACAGCTTCGGCCGTAGGCCGAAGCCACGAGCGGCGAAGCCGCGAGAAAAACCTCTGGCACGGAGCGATGCTTTCCTGAAGGATTGAAGCAGTTCACGGAGAGTGCACATGTCACTGAACTTTCTGAGCGAGCTCCTGTACTTTACACCATACTGTCTTCTGCTGCTGGAAAGCCTGTTATTAGTAAAGCAAGAAATCAGAATGGAGAAAATGAAACCAATGATGAGAGTAACACAGCTACACCAGCAATAAGTATGGCAGCCTCCATCCTTCTGAAGAAGAGATGCCCACAAATGAGTGCTCAGGCATACAGATTTTCCACAGTATTATGGCACAGTGGAGCCAAAAAGCAAGTGAGTTCAAAATTAATGATCTAGATGTGAATTGGTGACATATACGAAGTCTGACTCCTACAGTCTATACCAGTACATATATTTATTTTTCCCCGTTTAGAACTTGAATCAGATTTTTACTTAAATAATTTGTTAAGAGAACTTTCATTGTCTTGATCAAATAAAGCTGATAAACATACATGTACATGTAAAAAAATGAGTGCACTATTAGTTGAAGTCAATCTCTTGGCAAGACATTCCACCACAGATTGTTTTCTAATGGATTTTCTTGATGGAAAATGTTCACTTAAAATTTAAAACTGATATTTTTTCTTTTAGGTATACAACCGTGGTGTCAAGTGGGGTGTGACAGTTAGCCATACATCGGTAATCGAGAAAATAGAACAAATGGGAAAAAGGTTTGATGAGAAAGTCCTAAACTGGAAGGTTCAGCAAGAGTACCACAAAAGGTTTACTGCCACACTGGCAACGATAAAGGAGTGTGTTGAAGAAGCAGTTCCCACAGTTGAGCCCACAAATGACAGGAACCTTAAAAAGGCAGTTGAAGACAAGCTTGGGCAACAAAAACATTTTATATTTGATGAAAACATTTATTCGGAAGTCGAAACCCTGATCAAGAAAACTACACAGACAGAGCTTGTTAGCAACACAAGTATGGAGACACTGTCAATGCTAATGCAGCAGTCTGACTCAGAGAGACCACTGGGTTATCAAATCATTGGAGATAATGTCGATCTTATGATTAAAGTCAGACATCAGGCTAGTGACAAACCTAACAAAAGCATTCACTGGTTTCACCTGAATGCCGTGAAGGACAGAGTGAGTGGTGCTGGATTGTCTGAAAAGGGATCAATCAAATTAGTTGATCAAGTGGAGAACTGGGAAATCTTGCCATCATATCAGGATAATGAAGGGCTACTTCATGACTTCATTCCCCTGTTTGCACGGGTAATTTGTGACAGGATTCCTGCACTGAAGTCTTTCAAAGATGTTGTAATCAGGCATATTCCTCACAAATACTCTAATGTAACGAAACAGAAATCTGAACAGGTAATTTGCCATTTTTAACCAGTTATGCAAACTTTTGCGGTCGAAATCCCCTTAAGACAGATGCTTCATTGAATTTTTGTTCCCTATTATTATTATTATTATTATTTTATTGGGAAGCAGTGACACTGCGTAAAGACCTCTATTATATTTCACTACTGTTAGCGATGGTGTCTCCTTGCCACTGGCTTTTGTACTTTACAAAATTAATTTAAGTTTAGTTAACCTTTTTGTTTGATACCAATGTCTCAATATTTGTACTCCGTGGAAGTTAGTGTTCAGTATTTGCAATTTGCACTGTATCTCATCATTTTTTCAGTCAAACATCCCATTATTCCTTTATTTAAAACTTAGTTTCACAGTGATTATAGAATGACATCAATGACTTCCAAAGTAGGCAATTATATCAATCCAACTATGCCATACTTCATCTCAACTTTTTTTTTCAAGCTTAAGTTTTGTGAGCTAAAGACAGCCTTAAAAAAATATATCTATTTAACTGCCTACATTTATTATATGTCCTACCTTCTTTTAAGGCACCACTAGGATTGCTCTTTAAGAATGAAAACACAAATGATGACATGATAGACATATTAACAGAGCTACATCAAAGGTATCTTCCAGTCATGAAAACAACTGATGGCTCCGGTAACGTGGAAATTGAAGTGCTCCAGAAGGTTTTCTTTGGTGGTGACCAGTTGACTGAAGAACGTGCGCGGAATGCTAGACAAGGTCGAGCTGATGGTGACACAGAGTTTGAAAGATTGGAGGGGCTTATCCCAAAGGTAGAAGATTGGCATGCAGGAAGAGTTCTTTACCAGGTGGGTTTGTTGTTGACTTAAATCTTATAGGGAGATAAGAAATAAAACAGAATCATCTAGAAGAATAAATTAACCTTAGATGATGCAAACAATCCATGAAAACAAATTGGGGCTTCTTTCTTAGTGGATCATGAGAATGGCGTTGTTAACCTTTCCACATAGAGTCAGTTGAGCATAATTTAATTTGCATATGGGCATTTCATTTTTTTTTAATACGCTCCCTTGTTCTTGTCATTCTTGTCCACTTTGCACTAACAAATACTTAATATGATAATGAAACTTGTACAGAAATGAAATCATATTTGTTTATTATTGGAAAAAGTATTGACGTCAAGAAATAATACTATTCTTTTCCTACCCCCTAGGTACTGTATGATGTATTTTTCAACCCCTCTTCTGCAAATGATGTTGGTACCATGTGCAGCAACATGAATGTAATCAACCAAGTGAATGCTAAAACATCAAATGTCCTTGACAACTTCAACCATTGTAAGACCTATGTGAAGCTTGAAACAGATGCATTCATCACAACTGCTACCATGAAGCACTTTGGGATGACTAACCTTGAGGAACCTGCTGGAAATTTCATACCTCCCTCAATTTTGGATGGTAGCCAAAGCACACGAAGAATCTGGCTTCACAAGCAGGTTAAAGATATACTGAAGAAAGCTGTTATTGATGAGCAAGAACAGTTTCATGCAACTCTTCAAAATGAACTCATTGAATTGAACAGACCAAAAAGGTTTTACTGCAGGGTCTGTAACAAAGAGTACAGATATGCCAAAGCAAGGGATTCACATGAAAATAACATTCACTCTTTTAGCATCGAATTGGCATCTCCAGAGGAGTCAAGTGACTCTATGCAACCTCTCGCTGAACACAAACCTGTTGATGCGTGATACAATTATGCCTGTGCTCGTCTCAATTTTGGTATGCTGCTTTACAATTTTGACGATGCAATCAAGGAGGGGGATGGTGATCGCATCTTAAGATGCTGGAAGTTCATGCTCTTGATATTCAGAGCATACAAACATACAAAGTATGCTTTTGCTGCTTTGCAATTGTTTTTCTACACTTCATGCATGTTATCAGAGAGAATGTCACATTTGTTAGTTTGGAACCGAACTGTGAACAACCATGGTGGTAAAGGCCGAAATATCTCTTTGGACTTGAGGTTAGAACACTTAAATAATCTCTTGAAGGAGATGCTAAGGTGTCTTGGTGTCAATGTGACAGAAAAATCAGCTAAACGATGTGGTGAAGCGATGTCAATATTAGAAGAAATGCTGCACAAGATTGATGTAGAGTTAGGTGTCAAGGAACCTTCTGGGCACCACATCACAGCAAATGATGACCAAGATTTTGCAGCCCTTGTGAAAGAAATCCATGAAAGAGGGGGGCTTTTCTCTTTCAACCCATCTTCTGATCGTAACTACGAAAAATTTCCTGATTTTCAAAGGAACATCTTAAGTGGGCTTGACTTCAATCAGCTTAATAAGTGGTTGAACAGTCACAAGAAAGACATGTCCCGTCTTCAACAGTGAATGGCTTCAAAAGTTGGAATGAACTGTTTGAATAGGCCATTTGCACTAAGAGGTCATCTGACATCGTTTTTATGAAAAAAATACTTATATGATTCCGTTGTTGAAAAACGATTAGTGGGTCATATCTTACACAAAATAATAGTGATTTGGTTTTTCAAACCTGCACCATTTTCTTAAAATGGGTAAGTTCGTAGCTGGTCACGTGACCAAAATGTGATTTTCAAAATTATGAATTACCTCTTTCTGAACATCAATTTTGCACTTAAACTTAAAGGAAAATGTTGAAAAGATGATGTGGTAACGTTTACAGGACATCTGAGCATAACTACTAAATTGCCATAAAATATCCCCCTTAAAATGTGTTTCCTCTCAAATTTCGGGTGTAAGATAATTTTTCTGTGCTCTGTCAATTTTTGGGATCAGCAAGATTCAAACTCATTGTTGAAAGGAAGCATTGGTCACGTGACTTCTTAGTGCAAGTGGCATATTACAAAATTAATGGACCCCTTGATTCAGAAGAAAAACAAAGGAGAAAACAATCTATTCTCAAGCATGTTTATTTCAAGACAGTTTGATACATTTCTGATGCGCTGTCTTAGAATACAAAATACCTTGCTGTTTTTTAAAAAAAGGTTTTCCTTCAGTTGTAGCTTACTCGATGCCCTAGAAACATTTGGCACAAATCACTCCTACCACTACCCGACTGTGGCAGCAGGGGTGATTTGAAGCAAAAGCTGAAACTGAAATCTGTACATGAATAGATGGTGTTTACTAATATGATCAAAAGTATATCCAATATTTCTTAATGAAAACAACTCATAGAAACTGAAAGCATTGTGGGCGACGCTTTTGTGCTTTTGTCAGTCTGTCAAAATCTTGTAAAAACAGCTGTTTAAATTTCTAGGAACTAAGGCAAGAGGCAGAAAATTTTAAAATTAATGTGCGTGAAGACACAGGAGTTACATATGTAAGGTAACCCAGAATTTCCCAGTCAGTAATTCATTGCATAGTAATAATGAAAAACACTACTTTTTGGGTGCATTATACAAAATTTAAGACAACGAATTTTTGCTATGTCATTATCCCTGAGCCCCATTAAGTTTTTTAGTCTTCTGGAAGTTCTTTTCTATTATGAATGTATATCATACTTGTTTACAAAATCGACACATTGCTCTATTTTTATTGAAATAAATAGTGTACCTTTCAAACTGCAGAATGGTTTACTTGAATGGTTTACTGCCTTAAGTCGCTTACCGCAATAGTAAAATCAGGTCAACTCCCACCTTGTTGACACCCTGTCTGTACACAACAGATAATGACTAGGTGCCTGGCAAAAGACATAAATGCTCTCAAGGATATGAATAATGAACAATATCTGCACTAATGTGAGTTAACTGCACTTCAACAAAGTCAAAAAGCTTTCTTTTAGATAACAACTTCAAGACAATAAATGACAGAAGTAAGTTATTACTACAACTCAGAATCTGTGAAAAAGTCACTGTCACTGCCTTCGCTGTTGCTATAGATTCCACCATATTCAAGGTCAAATGTCTCAGAAAAAACAAGTTCTTGATTGTCAGTGTCTGTGAGTGTCTCATCATTAATTTCAAAATCTTCAAAAGAATCTCTAACCATATGGAGGATGTCACAAGCATGCTCTTTTTTGAAAACAGGCAAATTCTCCATTATGTAATCCACATTAAAAATGTACTTACAATGAGACAGTACTGACTTAATCAGATTATCGCTAAATCCAGTTGTACACTCTGGAGACAGGTAATAGACTGAGCACTTAGAAGAGAGTTCCCTTTGCCTGTCCCTCAACAATTCTTCAAGCAGTAACCTTTGTTGAAGGGTAGTCTTTCTTTTCTTTAAAGACTCTTTGGAGGAACCCCTCACTTGATAACTGTGGTGAGTAAACGGTATGTCAATGTTGCACTTTGTGTCACTGCATAGACACTTCAAATGGCATGACAAGCAACAGCTATGATCTCCCACAGTGTTGTTAAGTTCTTCAAATTCTGACATTAAAAGGTTTCGCAAACAGGTGCTCTCCTACCGTATGGAAAATTGACGGAAGAGCGTAAAGGCGTTTACAAAGGGAACCATTTTATTACGACTTTGACGGAAGGACGGTAGTGCCGGTCGTGCTGGTTAAAGAACCTGTTTTAGAAGTTATAATGCTCCTGGCCCATAGTGAATAACATAAGCAATGTCCTTGAAGTTAATTCCCATACCAAGAGCATTTGTAGCAAACACCACTCTGCAGGTTCCAGAAGGTTTGTAGAGTGAGGTGCTAACTCTACCTTTATGTTTGTCAAGGGTGTTGTGGTGAAACATACCAATCAACATGTTGTCAGACTTGTGATCACTGCTGACATAAGCATTTTCTTTTAGCTCCATTTTAAAAAAACTAAATAGTTGTCCACATTCCTTGGTAGTCTTACAATAAACCAAAGTTCTTGGGCAAGCCTGTTTTTCAACTATCAACTTTTCAACCAGCCAACCGAACGTCTCAGACAAGTTTTTGTTTACTTTAGCAACATACAAATAAATGTTCGACCTATTTGGGCTTGCAACAATCAGGTGCAGGTTGTCCTTCAAATTCAGACCATTAATGATTTGCTGCCTTGTCTCTCTGGTTGCTGTTGCTGTTAGTGCCATTACTGGAGTTTTGTCTGCAGCTAGTGAACGAAGCTCACCCAACCGTCCAAAACATGCACGAAAGGCTTGTTGCTTTTCTTTGCTATCATAGCCCCTGGTAAATTTAAAAAAGAGACTGTTCAGGATTAATGTTGTCGAGACCTGAAAACATGTTCTTTTTATGAGTGTTGAGTAGGGCTAATCAATGATAAAACAGGGAAACCCTCCACATACATGAATAAAAGAGACGAAACAGAAAAAAAGGGAGAAGTAAAAAAATAATGGTCTCCTATATTGATAAATTATAGAAATCCTCCTTTAAAGATCTTATTTACATACCAGGATTTGCACAATGCACAAGTCCCTTACTACAAAATCATTGTAGACAATCAATGAAAACAAGTCCAATTTAGACGTCAATTTAAGCAAATTTTCCCTGCAAAATACATGTTTTGTGTTTATATTAATTCCTAATCCATCCAACTTGTTTCAAAACATGTTGTAAACGTTTGAAATAGGAAATTAGTAAAGCTCAAATCGTATTGTTGCAAAAGTTGAATGTGATAATTAAAAGCTTAGTAAATTCAAACCACAACAACACTAGTCAACATACCATTTAGGAATAACATGGGCTTCATCGGTAACAATCCCAAACAGGTTGCTTTGATAGATGGGCGACTGAAGCATCTTCCTCCATTTTTCGTTCAGGATAAGCGCCTCAGGGTTTGCAAAGACGAACGCGTATTTCCCAGCGAGTGCGCCATCTTGGTCGGCATCATCTCCGGATAAACAAGTACACGAAATTCCCCGCTGTCGTAACTCCTTCATATGGCATTCGATAAGGGCATTCAACGGACAAACAACAATCACAATTGCACTTTTCGGATAGTTGCAGTATCCCATTTGGTTAAGACGCAGACACAGACCCGGAATAAGCTGAAACAACAACGATTTACCGGAACCGGTTGGCAAGACAGCCAGAACGTCCTTGCGTTGAATAAAATTCAATACCCCACTTGTTTGCTCATCACTTAACTTCTCTACACCGTCAAACCTTTCTAGCACATAGCTTATACTTTCCTTCAATGCCCTTTCCAAACTCTCACAAACCGCCATCACTACACTTCTCGCAGGAACGCTTACGTGATGTTAACAGCACAGTTGGAAATATTCTTTCACGTGCTGGTCTATTCTTGTCAACCAATTGTAGCGTCTGTTAGATTCAGAGTCCCTCAGGAGGTCGTTCGGAGCCAATCAGCCGTCTTGTCCAAAATCTGGACCAACTGATTTAACCGTGCTAACGATTGGTTCGGCGCTATCAAAGGGATGGCGCTCTGGTCCAGAGGCTTTTCGCGCGGGTCACTATAAAGACTTGACAGAAACCGGAAACCGCGCTAGAAAAGTCTCTGGCACCCAGGGTATAGCCACGAGCGGCGAAGCCGCGAGAAAAACCTCTGGCACGGAGCGATGCTTTTTACCGTCCCCGTTGACCTTTGAGCTTTTTTATCGGATTACATTTACGCCAATCAGATTGGACGTCTCCAACTGTGATCATGTGGATCTGCACGTGAAGAAATGTCAGAAATGGGTTTCCAATTACAGAAGCTCAAGAGGTGTCAATTCGCTATGGCGTTCGCGGGAGTCAATACAACTCCCGTAAAGAAAGTTTTGAATCCAAAATCTGCCCTCTCTTGTCGCCTTTGTGGGACAAGTGTTGCTAATGGTGGTTATTACAGCCTGACATCGGATACTGCCGAAAAGTTAAGTATTTGTTCGAGAATTTCTTCGTTATTCGGTGTTGAAGAAAACCTGTCTGTTGGGCCGCGTGTTCTTTGCAAGAAGTGCTTTCGACGCATTGAACGCTTTGAGGTTACGCTGAAAGAGTTGTCGTCCTTCAAGTCTCGATATATTGAAAATTTGTTACTGTGGAAGGAGGAAGGAGAGGAGGCTAGATCCAAGCGTTGCTCAAGTTCGCCTGGTTTTGGCGTGAAAAAGTCGCGCGGTCCGTCAAGTTCTGTAACAAGTGTTGTGCCCGGATCTTCTGGTAAAAATATTAGAAGAGCTCTCGACATTCCTCCCAACCCTGCCAACAATGCAACACTAAATAGCGTTGCAGATGACATTATGGAGCTTAGTCTTCATCCTGCAGATATAGAGGTAATTTTGTCTTTTTATCGATCACCATCATTCAAGATGCGGACCGCTAGGGAAACAGGCCATTCGATGATGCATATGAAAGGCTTTCCTAGAGAGATTATTTGCAATTTTAAATTAGCCTTTTCCTCTTAGTATCCCTTTTCGAGAGCTGTCTCTGATGGTCTTTACGCTTTCTAAAATTAATGCACACACAGAGTTATATCTGCATTTAAACACGCGTACGTTAGCTTTCAACTTTCATCGTGTTGTTCTGATGTCAAGACGGTGAAAAATTTCTTAAAGGTTTTTTTTTNAAAAGCTTTCTTTTAGATAACAACTTCAAGACAATAAATGACAGAAGTAAGTTATTACTACAACTCAGAATCTGTGAAAAAGTCACTGTCACTGCCTTCGCTGTTGCTATAGATTCCACCATATTCAAGGTCAAATGTCTCAGAAAAAACAAGTTCTTGATTGTCAGTGTCTGTGAGTGTCTCATCATTAATTTCAAAATCTTCAAAAGAATCTCTAACCATATGGAGGATGTCACAAGCATGCTCTTTTTTGAAAACAGGCAAATTCTCCATTATGTAATCCACATTAAAAATGTACTTACAATGAGACAGTACTGACTTAATCAGATTATCGCTAAATCCAGTTGTACACTCTGGAGACAGGTAATAGACTGAGCACTTAGAAGAGAGTTCCCTTTGCCTGTCCCTCAACAATTCTTCAAGCAGTAACCTTTGTTGAAGGGTAGTCTTTCTTTTCTTTAAAGACTCTTTGGAGGAACCCCTCACTTGATAACTGTGGTGAGTAAACGGTATGTCAATGTTGCACTTTGTGTCACTGCATAGACACTTCAAATGGCATGACAAGCAACAGCTATGATCTCCCACAGTGTTGTTAAGTTCTTCAAATTCTGACATTAAAAGGTTTCGCAAACAGGTGCTCTCCTTGGCATACCTTTTAACTGCCTTCTCGCATTTCCGCAAATGTTTCCCTTGGTAAAATAATGCTGAAACTGCCTTCCTGCCATCACGGCCAGCACGACCAATTTCTTGGACAAAATCTTCAATATTACGAGGAGGCCCATAGTGAATAACATAAGCAATGTCCTTGAAGTTAATTCCCATACCAAGAGCATTTGTAGCAAACACCACTCTGCAGGTTCCAGAAGGTTTGTAGAGTGAGGTGCTAACTCTACCTTTATGTTTGTCAAGGGTGTTGTGGTGAAACATACCAATCAACATGTTGTCAGACTTGTGATCACTGCTGACATAAGCATTTTCTTTTAGCTCCATTTTAAAAAAACTAAATAGTTGTCCACATTCCTTGGTAGTCTTACAATAAACCAAAGTTCTTGGGCAAGCCTGTTTTTCAACTATCAACTTTTCAACCAGCCAACCGAACGTCTCAGACAAGTTTTTGTTTACTTTAGCAACATACAAATAAATGTTCGACCTATTTGGGCTTGCAACAATCAGGTGCAGGTTGTCCTTCAAATTCAGACCATTAATGATTTGCTGCCTTGTCTCTCTGGTTGCTGTTGCTGTTAGTGCCATTACTGGAGTTTTGTCTGCAGCTAGTGAACGAAGCTCACCCAACCGTCCAAAACATGCACGAAAGGCTTGTTGCTTTTCTTTGCTATCATAGCCCCTGGTAAATTTAAAAAAGAGACTGTTCAGGATTAATGTTGTCGAGACCTGAAAACATGTTCTTTTTATGAGTGTTGAGTAGGGCTAATCAATGATAAAACAGGGAAACCCTCCACATACATGAATAAAAGAGACGAAACAGAAAAAAAGGGAGAAGTAAAAAAATAATGGTCTCCTATATTGATAAATTATAGAAATCCTCCTTTAAAGATCTTATTTACATACCAGGATTTGCACAATGCACAAGTCCCTTACTACAAAATCATTGTAGACAATCAATGAAAACAAGTCCAATTTAGACGTCAATTTAAGCAAATTTTCCCTGCAAAATACATGTTTTGTGTTTATATTAATTCCTAATCCATCCAACTTGTTTCAAAACATGTTGTAAACGTTTGAAATAGGAAATTAGTAAAGCTCAAATCGTATTGTTGCAAAAGTTGAATGTGATAATTAAAAGCTTAGTAAATTCAAACCACAACAACACTAGTCAACATACCATTTAGGAATAACATGGGCTTCATCGGTAACAATCCCAAACAGGTTGCTTTGATAGATGGGCGACTGAAGCATCTTCCTCCATTTTTCGTTCAGGATAAGCGCCTCAGGGTTTGCAAAGACGAACGCGTATTTCCCAGCGAGTGCGCCATCTTGGTCGGCATCATCTCCGGATAAACAAGTACACGAAATTCCCCGCTGTCGTAACTCCTTCATATGGCATTCGATAAGGGCATTCAACGGACAAACAACAATCACAATTGCACTTTTCGGATAGTTGCAGTATCCCATTTGGTTAAGACGCAGACACAGACCCGGAATAAGCTGAAACAACAACGATTTACCGGAACCGGTTGGCAAGACAGCCAGAACGTCCTTGCGTTGAATAAAATTCAATACCCCACTTGTTTGCTCATCACTTAACTTCTCTACACCGTCAAACCTTTCTAGCACATAGCTTATACTTTCCTTCAATGCCCTTTCCAAACTCTCACAAACCGCCATCACTACACTTCTCGCAGGAACGCTTACGTGATGTTAACAGCACAGTTGGAAATATTCTTTCACGTGCTGGTCTATTCTTGTCAACCAATTGTAGCGTCTGTTAGATTCAGAGTCCCTCAGGAGGTCGTTCGGAGCCAATCAGCCGTCTTGTCCAAAATCTGGACCAACTGATTTAACCGTGCTAACGATTGGTTCGGCGCTATCAAAGGGATGGCGCTCTGGTCCAGAGGCTTTTCGCGCGGGTCACTATAAAGACTTGACAGAAACCGGAAACCGCGCTAGAAAAGTCTCTGGCACCCAGGGTAGGCGCCTTCGTCCCGCGCCATATGAAATCCGACGAAGGACTTTTGGAAAGTCTACTGCTACCTGTACGCCTAACAAACATATCGAACGCACTCTCCTAAGCTCCGATTACTCCTAGATATAGATCGTTTTCACTGTCACGCAACAAAAGATTAAATTGGAAACCGTCCAGTGGAAGAAGCCAAGAAAATGACATACTATAAAAGACTAACATTTAAACAATTCGTCCAAGTCTCAGGTCTTTGTGGTCCACAGTTTCTGAGTTATTTGCCGAAACGTTTCACGCATCTTTGTAGAGCTTTGTATGGAGACGCCATATTGGTGCCCCGTTCTGGTGCACCAATATGGCCGCCGGAAATCAACAAAAACATTGGGAGTTCACTTTTTCTATAAAATCTCTTTATTTTCACTCGAGGACTAGCATACGTATGCATAAACATGGCTTCTAATACTTGAAGTGGTTATACTGTTGAAAATCAAGAGGAGAGACATTTTTTCAACGAGACAGCATTCCTATTTTGTGAAAACACGGAAGTTCAAATTGCTGTATTTCCGAAATGAAACATGCTACGGAAAGGGAAACTTGTACAAAGATTTACTTTTTGTTTATCTTCAACCTAGTGTAAACAAGAATTCGTAAAACCTGGCTATTTTGACTTTACAATTTCATGACGTCACAGTGAAAACCATCTTTAGACGTTATACTGGCTGCTATGTTGACGAGCTGTCAATTTACATATGAACAGCGGGTGGTGAGAAGCGACGACCGGAAATACATCTGTGTCCGCAGGCTAAATATCAAGGGGCGTTTTTCCGATTCGTGGGGTTTGCGGGCAAGTGTTTCCTTTTTTCTCTTCCCCCTCCATTTTTTTTTTCGCTCTCGCTCCAACTTTTGCGCAATAACTCGCTTTGCCTGTTTACACACCCCCTATATAAAAAATAAAAACAGCGGGGGATTTATTGACCGCCAGTGCAAGAGGGTAGGGATGGGGGAAGAAGAAAATAGAAGCGCCCGCCGATTATTGAAAAGAACGAAAGGAAAAATAAAACAACGTTTGTGTACAGGCTATACCACGTTACTTGGGCTAAGTTCGTGCTAACGAAACTTCGCGATCATGCAAAGGATAGAGGAGAGTAGGAGGTGAGGGCTGAGGGCTGAGGGGTGAGGGGTGAGGGATTAGACCTGCCGGAAATTTCGCTCGTGTTCTCGATAGTCTGAAATGTCATACGTCCCCACGTGGAGACGTATGACAATTCAGCCTAAATTCTCGAATGATTCTCACTGGCGTGCTGTGGTGAAGTCGACGTTTGATGGTAAAATGGCAAAAATAACTGTGAATCCTTCTCTGAAAACGATTATTGATCAAAATGTTGATATATTTGTGAGTAACCTTCCTTCATATCAAGATATTACTTTTCGAGCTCAAACCATCGATGACAGCGAGACAGTGTTTGAATCATTCGCTTACTACAGAGCCGACGAGAACGGAGAAGTATCGTTGGTTTCTCAACCCTCGCTTGGAGGATCGTATACCGGTGTGGAACCCATGGGCTTATTTTGGAGCATGGAACCCGTGGAAGGAACTGACCGAGACGATATGCTGAGAAAGCGAGATGTTACAAAACCCCTGAAAGTTTCCTTAGATGTCTACAGCGGTGTACGTATTGGTGGGAACAATTCTATGTCGCTTGAAGAAAATAACAAACTGGCGAGCGTGACACTACTACGAAGTTACATGAGCGATAGAGTGACCCGACACGTTGTAGAGAGTGGTGGATTTTATGGCACTTTCTTCATTCCCTCGGGAGATGGACTCTTCCCAGGGATAGTGCACCTTTTCAACTGCGAATAAATAGACTATAAAGAATATTCTGAAAGCAGACCACGGTGGTCGGTTGCTAGGGCTTTTGCTCCCACACCTCTCAAAACTGAGAGTTTAAGGCCATAGAGAGAAGTAGAATGCATGGAATGCAACAAAACTTGGCAAGGAAGTAAGTTGATAAATTACCTATTTATTGGTGTTTATTTCATCCCATGTGACTTCTGTTGTGACGTCATAAATGATGTCCAAATTTGGCATCAGAAAGAAAATTCAAGAAAGAAATGCTAAAAATTTTACATTAGTTTTCTGTATAGAATTCTATGATTTCTGGTGAAAACCCCATCTCAATCGGATGAAAAGGCGCAAAGTTACATTTAATTAAAGAAATTCAAATTTCCCGCCAAATGACCATATATGGTCAAACTTTAGGGGTATTTTAACGCGAAAACTATGAAGGTAGTCGCAACGGAGAAAAGACAAATTTGCATAAAAACAAAATTGTAGTTTTTTGAGTTTAGGATGTGTGGTCTATGACGCGTATTTCGTCACGAATTACGTCATTTTGACGTCATAATGGCGTAATTTGTGACGAAATACGCGTCATAGCACCACATATGCCGAATTCAAAAAACTACAATTTTGATTTTATGCAGCTTTGTCTTTTTTCCGTTGTAAATACATTCATTGTTTTCGCGTTAAAATACCCCTAAAGTTTGACCATATATGGTCATGAGGC